ATGTACGGGATATACATATCACGCATCATCACTCACACGGAGATATTTCGTTGGAGTTTAGAGTGTATATATGAAGTCCGGCCGCATATCTCCTCTCATCTCCACTTGCTTTGCGTCAAGCCCTTGAATCCAATGATCCCTCTCCCCACACAGCCGCTTCCTGTTCTCTCTGCGGAGGAGGAGGTACTGTGCAACGCTCCCTCCAAGCTGGAATAGAAGTAGATATCCAAGGACGGTGCTGTGGCCTGGGTAAAATTCTGGCCTATCTTGCCCTCGATATATGTTCGACGTTACGCATCCCTGGAGATTCCCCCATCCAATAACGATACCAAGCGTGACCCCACGTTTGTACACACCTATATTCAGTGTTAAAAATATTCCTTTTAAGATACAGAACAAAAACGGATGTGCACAAATGAGGGTGAAAGTTAGGGTGAATAGGACAAGAAATCCCTTACCTTCAGTGTTATTACTTGCCCAGGAAATCGTATTTGAGATGGCAGGGTAGATGCCCATAGCTCCAAGGAATGTACCAGCATACTTAACAGAAGGGTTTTGGGAGCCTAGGAGCATGGAGAAACCAACAACACCAAGCACTGAAACGGCTATATTGCACAGCCCACGTTGGCGAGTACGATCGGCAATGTAGCCCACGGTAATCGTTAGGACAGCGGCAACTGCGTATGGTGGGACACTCAGAAGCTGAGCCCTGGAGGCGGAGTATCCTAGACCGAGGAACATGTTAATTAAAAACCAATCCCGAGAAAAGCGTTGATTCAAGCAGAAAAGGAAACGATAGAAGCCTTATAATTACCCTATGATTGATGTTAGCAGGGAGCTATATAGAGAAATATGCGGCCGCAAATCAAGTCAGCACTTACTAGCTCATTGATAATGGTTGGGACAAACAGAGAGAACGCATAGAGAGCCCCGTCGCAGCCCATATAGATAATGGCAGAGGTGTATGTCTTCCAGTCCTTTACGCTTGCCCAAAAATATTCCATCTTGAAATCCTCGTGCTCAGCGCTGGACTGTTTGTCTGCAGCTAGGCGACGAATCACCCGCTTGCGATCGTCCACGGACAGGAAGGTTGCTTCATCTGGGAAATCTTGCACCATCCAAAACGATGCAATTCCGATAAGGATAGTAGCCAGTCCTTCCAAGATAAAAATCCATGCCCAGCCAGGTCTTCCACCAACACCACCCATCTTGGCTATAGCCGCGGCAAGGAGGCCGCCGAACGACCCAGCAAACGCTGCTGCAGAGAAAAAAATGGCCATGCGGATACCAAATTCGCATCGCCTATACCAACAAGAGAGGAAGTATCCAACGCCCGGAAATAGCCCAGCTTCAGTTACTCCCAGAAACCAGCGAGCTGTCATGAGACCGGCGAAGTTGGTAACTAGACCCATACAGGTCAAACACGTACCCTAGATGTTCCAGAGACATGTCAGAAAGAGCACACGGATATTTTTTAATAAGAGGAGGATTAGCTTACCCAAAAGAACATAATTAGGGGGATGAAGAAACTTGGTCGCATCTTCTTGAGCAAAACGTTGGTGATAGGCTCTAGCACGGAGTAGGACACAAAGAAAATGGTCAGCGTGGCATTGTATTGACTGTCTGTCAAGCGGAGGTCGTCCTGTAATCCATCTATTTTCGCATTTCCGATATTTGTTCGATCCAAAAAGCTGGTTATGGCATTTCCGTTAGTCAGACGCTCCACCACGATGGTGTGCATTGCACGATAACATTGCAATGTACCATACCTGACGAGATAAAGCAGACAGAGCCAGGGAATGAGCTTCATGTCAATCTTTCGGAGCAATTTCCTGTCCTATACGCCACATCACATTGTAAGACATAAAGAGCCCAAAGATAAAACGCGCAATTGCTGTTTTGTCACAAATCAAGGAGCACATACGTTTTCTGCCCTCTCCTCCTCGCTGAGGCCAGCGTCCGGGTCGTCGATCTCAGTCCCGATGACGAATCCGGAATCTTTGGCCCCAACATTCTCCTCCGACCATGCTCCCTTACTGTTCGTGCTTGGATCTCTGACTTCCTGGTCTCTATTATCCATTGCGACTTGGTGCACAAATGCGAGAAATTAAAAACATAGAAATAAATATATAAATAAAAATAAATAGAAAAAAAAAAAAAAGAAAAGAAGAGAAAGACAATTGCCTCCAGAAGAAGAACCGCAGCTGCACGCTAGGGTGTTCCACACGCAAGGATACGATGGAGGATACAACAAGAGGCGAGACAAGACTGTGATGGCACTGTTATTTGTGAAGTAGTTAGAACATATTAGATCTAGAATTTCTGATCAAGGAATGCAAAAAGGGTCATCGCAATGGGGGAGAATTATATCTGTTTATGGTCCTGGAAAACCTTCGGAATAATGGGGACCTCACACCTATTCGCACGCTTTTTGAGTTTCTCCACTCGCTTTCGAAGAATGCTTGTATCAAAAAGCAACCACCTTTCTCCCTCTCCGCTCCGTGGATTGACAAATTCTCCCCACTGAGGTGATAACGACTCGGGGATTGAATGCGTGTATCCGGGATGCACAAAGAGGTATCTGGCAGAAGAACAGTTTTGTTTCTTCCGCCGCCGCAACTTGTGACTTGTTTTGAATTGTCCTGGCAGTTATTCAAAATCCACCCTCAAATAGTTAAAACTAAAGAGGTTTCAACTAAACGCCGATAAAAAGAAGTATTTCGAAACAGCAGGTGAAGCAGTAGGTATTTAAGTATTCAGTGTCCAGCATCCAGCCACAGAAATGGATGAGATTCCAATTAATTAGTCATTATCACAGCACAGGTATCGGGAATGCCATGGTTCCCGAGATGACGATACCGAGATTCCCAGACACCTCGAGGCTTGGTGGGCTTTTTTGGTGGGCTTTGGGCAATGAATCAACCGCTGTCAGTCGGAGGCAACCCTCATTAATCTGGATCCCGGAGTTCTGGCCACAATTGACCTTTTTCTTCTTCTTCTTCTTCTTCTTCTTCTTCTTCTTCTTCTTCTTCTTTTTTTTTTTCTTTTTTTTCTTTTTTCGTTCTGGTCTTTCTATTTTTACTGTTGTTGCAGTTGCTGCAGAGAGGCCGGTGTCGTGCAGGTTTGTCAGAGCAGGCTGTGGGAGGAAGGGGAGTTTGGCTTAGTTAGACATTCCGGCGGCCGGCGGTCTGAGGAGGGATAGTGGCAAAACCAGCGATAAACCAATACCTGACATCTGATTTCGGGGTATGGGGGGAGCTTGTTTTGGGGGAGCAGCGGAGTCCCATTTTACAGCAGAAGAGAAATTCCCAGTCCCCATTTTCCATGGATGCCTTCAAACGCCCTTATTTCGCTGTTACATAGAAATTAAGCTATTTACTGCGCCAAGGGCCAGTGGCTAAGAGAGAGCTTGTTTTCCAAGGCTCCTCCCCACTTTTTGGCTCACAAGTTCCTCTCTCCACGGAGTCTCCAGACCGGGGCTGAGTTTCGGAGCGGTTTTGCAACCTTCCATTTGCTCGAGGCTGCGGGGGCCCTTTTTGCGGGGGGTTTTCGTTCCAACGTGATGCTTTTCCCTGAGCCACCCCGGGTGCGGTGGGTAAAACTAACTAATTAGTAAAAAGGTGTATGTAACTAACTTTAGCATCCGCAGCAAAGCTCTTTTTTTACATTTTATTTCTGTATCTTTCTATTTCAGTCCGCCTGCATTTTATCGGACATGTGATCCACGGGAACACCCCGCTTGTTCATTCCCGCAAGGAACCGATCCCCCAGGAAACCCACACCGGCCGGAAAGCTCACTGCAACTTTACGCAGAACCTACGTCAAGGTTGACTTGGCGGCAATGGGCGAACGAGCACAAGAACTACCATTGGGGCCCTCGTTAACCTTTTTTCGCCAGCCGAGATCTCTACAACCTATATAGCTAGCCAACTAACCCACGGGGAGCACGTGACTCTAGCAGCCGCAGGAACCCACGGGGCGATCTCTTGTCCCAGTTGCGACAATATCCGCCGAACGGTGTCGGATCATGTCGGATTCCGCCTATTCAAGGTCTTAAAAGATGCATACACAGTTCTGCACAGGGACGATGGAGGAGACAACAGATTTTCTCATCATGGAGAATTCATGAAAGGTTGCTTACAATAACTAATTGCAGCTGGTAACTAAGTTAAAACTAGATGCGCACGAACACCAACAACCCGTGGGGAAAACAGGGGAAAAATCCTTGTTGTGGTTGTTCAAACCCGCAAGAGTATCTTAGGAAATTCGCCCCAAGGAGAAAACCCAATTTTGGCGGATATGTCAGCAGCCTTGTTGGGATACTATTTATTTATATAGTTCCGCCCTGCGCAATTTTAGCACTTGTTTCATGCATGTATTTTCAGTAAAATTGATTCCTCAGAGAACTACTTGCTACAAGGCTCCCACAAATAGACTTTTATCTGGGGTAGTGGTGTGGTGGTGATGAATATTATGATGATGATGATGATGATGATGATGATTGATGATGATGATGATGATGATGATGATGATGATGATGATGATGATGATGAT